TGGGTAGGTGGAGGTTCTTATTTAGCTAGATTATGGCTTCTCTGGGGAGGAAATATTTCAACTGAGATCTGAGGTCAAGAGGTCACACACTATGCAGGGGCAGGAACAGTGTTCTAGGCAGAAGGAACAGCATGTGCAAAAGCTTGAATGTCAGAGAGAGCTTGGTAGGTTTGAACAAGAAGAAAAGAATGGTTGAAGCACAGAGAGGGGATATGGTGGGGAATAGGCTGGAGAGGTAGTAAGGAGCTTTGTGAACCCAACAGAAGTCTCGCTTTTGTCCCAAGGGTCAGGAGGGGCCACTGCAGGATTTTAAACAGGGGGCTGATGAGATCAGGCCTCCTAATATACTGTGGGGGATGGTTAACAGGCAAAGTGAGGCTGGGGGCTAGTAGAGAGGCTACTGTAGTCAGCTGTGGGCTGACTGCCCCCATCCTCACTGTATCTATCCAAGAGGCTGCAGAAATGCACCCAACTGGGACCTGGGGACTCTGGGCCCCACTCCATGCTTGACCACTGACTCGCAGTGTAAGCTCTTTCTTCCCTGGCCTCTGTATCTCTTCTGAACAACAGGTCAGACACAGTGCTCCTTCAGATAAGGGCAGTCTGCCCCTTGGGCCTCTGGTTCTAGCGTCCTCTCTGCTCCCTAAGTGGCTGTGTCCTGGGGTACTGTCTCCCTCCCTAATGCTTCTGTTTCTCAACTGGGAGGAGGAGGGGAATCAGCACATCCTGGGTCACGATTGAGGCTAGGCTGCCAGGGAGGCCTCCGGTAGTACCTCATAGGGCCAGTAGGTGGCGCCCCCAGCCTCTGGAGAGGGTGGGAAGAGAGAGGAAGATGATGGGAGGGGAAAACGGAGGGCAGAGGGGCTCACAGGAGCCCCAGCACAAAACCATGAGTCTCACATTTGCCCCCAGAGGTGGACAGGGATTACCATCCCCACTTCCACCTCAGGAACTGCCCAAAGAGGGAGAGTTCCTCACCCAAGATCACAAAGTGAGCTCGAGGCTTGGTTGGGACTAGGGGTGAAGTCTGGGTAAGCCCGATGCTGGCCCCAGTGCCCACCAGCTTCTCTTAAACAAATCATTTCCAACAGAAAGCTGAGCCCAGAACCTCTTCTCTTTAAGGGTCATAAACCTGATTTAAAACCAAGTTATCACCAAGATCTTTATGAGGCCATCGTCTCTGGGCCCCACCCCAGAAGGCCCTGGTCGGGTGTGTGAGAGCAGCCCAGAGGGAGGACTTCCAGAGGCAAGAGGGGCCCAGCCAGGGAGTCAGAGGGAAGGAGGGGTCCAGTAAACAACCGCTCCCAGAGATAAGGGGCTGTCAGAGAGGAAGACGCTGCGACATGGTCGATGGGGGGCTTCTCCACCCACGCATGGTCACGGCACCCCAGCTGGACGGCAGTCTGAGCTTACCAGTCCCCACTGGGCACAGGGGGACCCTGAGGCCCAGGGAGGCAAGGGTTCAAGGTCACATGGTGAGCCAGAGGCCAGGGTGGGGGAAGACTTGCGAATTCAGAAGCCCAGCCTGAAAATTTTAAACAAGGCGACAGTGTCCACAGAGGTGTCACATCAGGGATAGCTCAGGTCTCTGATTGAGGAGTCCACCTAGGGGTGAAGGTGAGGGGGGAGCTGAGGTTTTTTTGCATGAGGAAGCCAGAGGAGGAAGAGGAACCAGGTATTTGTTTAAGCAAAACCCCAGGGTAGGGAGAGAGGCACACACAGGCTCACTCTCTTCCCAGGCAGCTCGTGTTGGAGAGGAAAGGAAAACTTCCAGAGAGGCCGCTGACCTGCTGTGTGGCCTCAGGCAGGTGACTTCACTTCTCTGAGCTCTAGCTGCTTCATCTGTGAAATGGGGAGAACAAATTACCCTACCTCACTGGGCTGTCTGAGGATGACATGAGATTAATAGATGAAAAAGACTTGGCATGATGCCTAGCACTTAACAAATGCTCAATAAAGCATGATGTTATTGCTATTATTATTCCAGCACAGGCAAAAGGCAAACTCTGAAGTCTCAAGAGAGAGGCAGTGAAAGGGCGCTGAGCTGGGCATCAGAAGACATGGGTCTGTCTGTTTCCCATATAGCTATGACCTGCTGCGGGAACTTGGGAAAAAAATCCCTTCTTTCTTTAGGCTTCTGAGCCTCTGTTCCCCTATCTGTAAAATGAATAGGTTGACTCTCTAAGGGTCTTCCATGGTCAGGATGCTACAAAATCTATGATGTCCCTGCTTTCCTACCCTACGTGGATCAGGGGTGCTGTTTGGAGGATCAAGCAGGCTCGGCTGAGGACAACCTCAGCCACTCTAGCTGGGCAGTGAGAAAGGCTAGTGGGGTCAGGAGACCCAGCTTCTATGCCCAGCCCTGCGCCTGTGTGACCTTGGCCAGTCACCTAGACCTCTCTGTGCTTCCCTTCCTTATCCAGAAATGCGGCCAGTTTATCTGACCTTTCCCCATGCCCAGGGCTCAGGAAAGAGCAGGCCCACCCCAAGAGGTGTCTGCAGGGTGGCAGGCATGTCCCGCCTCCACCCTGGCAGAGGGCAGCACTGAAGGGACTACGGAGCAGCTGGGATGGCTCCTTGAGGCCTCAGACCTCCCTGGCTCTGCTCTTTCCCTGGCCAGGGAAGTAGTCTCCGCGTTGCCTGGAAAATCCCCCATCTCTCAGCCACCACCCAAGTCCTGGACACCATCTTCATGACTCCTGGACCCCTGCCCAGCTTCCTTTCTGTGCTTGGGCTCCCCACGTCTCCCCTGGCTCACTCTCCACACACCAGCCACAGCCATCTGCCCACTACCCACCTGTCCACCATTCAAAACCCCCAAACCCCTCATCAGGCCTTGCTCTGCCTCCCTCCAGACTCATCTTGTCCCCCTCCCCAAACTCAGACCTTCAATCCCCACCCCAGGTCTTTTCTTCCTCCAGTCTGAGCAGTCCTGGTTACATCAGCTCAGAGAACAGAGCTCAGTCCTCTTGGGCCTATCCTCCCTTCTCTGTAGACTTCCCAGTTTAATGGAAGTTTGGGTCCTGGGTGGAATCCAGCATTCCAGATGACTTCCGTGCAAAATTTCACCAACACATCCACTTCCTGATCTTCCCTACTGAGGCACCCATGTGCTCCTTCACATCAGCCACAACCCATGCAGCCATCTTTCTCCTCTTCCAGACAGCATCCCTTTTGGCTGCACTGGGCACAACCCCTTTCCTGTCTGGGTCTCAGTGCTTCCACGTGTACAATGAGAAGACTTCCTCCTAGCAGGAAGAGGCACCGTGTGCTAACCGTCCTCCACTCTGTGACAGTATCCATCAGAAGAACAAGATTCTGACCTAGACCAGCTTCATGGATGAGTTACCTGTGTAGTCACACAGGGCACATGTTTAGAAGGACCCCACGCTTGGTTGAATGTTCTGCTATTGCCATCTTGAAATCTGTAATAATTTTTGAACAAGGAATCTCATTTTGCAATGGGCCCTGTAAATTGTGTCCTGATCCTGACACATGTGTCTAGCCCTGAGAAGATGCTGAGCTGCCTTGGCTGAGGTGGTGATCCAAGGGAGGGACAAGCTGAATAGGTAAGACCCTGATTCTGTCCACCTTCTAGGGACCACATGTCCCTGCACATTTAGGGGCGCCTAGGAAATGCTGGTGAAGCAAACCCCATAGTGGGGTTCTGTGCAGCTCCTTAGCACTGAACTCCTGCAGGGAGGGAACCCATCTCCCACAGGATTCCTGAAGAGCCCTGTCCTTCGTGAATCCTCCCCCAAATCCCCCATCTCGGCTCCCCACTCCCAGTTCACTGATGGCTCCTCAATTGCTTACCCCCCACCCCACCGCCCCCTTTTGGGTAGCTGCAAAATGTTTGGCAGTTTTTAATTGGGCAGGGTTGGGTGGATTTGCATGATGCATTTAAAATCCAAGAGGGCTCCAGCTATAATAAATGGATCAGGGCTTTAGGATAAACCAACTATTAAAAGGGCATTTTTGAATCAACTGAAACACTTTGAATATGAACTGGGCATCAGATAATACCCAAGAATGTGTGTTAATATGTGATAATGGCATATTACATAAGGAAATGTCCATGTGTTTTAGAGATGCACGCTGAGGTATGTAGGGATAAAATGACATGATGTTTGAAAGTTGTTTTAAAATACCTTAGCAAAAAAAGGGAGGAGGTCAGTTAAATAAGTGTCGCAGTATCTTGATTCACTCTACAATTCTACTTCTGTGTATGTTTGAAACTTTTCATTAAAATAAAGGCAGGGTGGGGAGTGGGGGCTGGGGGGGTTGTCAGGAGAATTGTGAAAAGTTCCCTAGAATGTCTCTAAAAGAATGTCCCTATTCCACCTCTCTAAGAACTTTCTCTAGAGAGCCAACTCAGGTGAACTCCCCAACTGTATGTGCATATGTGCATTTTCCCCTGGGAGAAAAAGATCCACAGCTTTCATCGGAGACTCAGAGGGGTCGTGACCCCTCCTCCCCCCAAAAGAGTAAGAACCCGCTACCTTACAGACGGGACCCTGTTTGAAGTCAGCGTTTCCCCACCTCCTTCGCTTCTAGCCCGTTACTGCAGACTGTGCCACAGGTCTGGTGCGGCTGTGTGATGCTGGCCTGGGGTGCCCCCACTCCTGAGATCCCTTTTCTCCACCTGTACAATAGGGTTGCGGGGCGGTCCACGCGGCCACGGGGAGGACGAGGGGTTCGGGCCTCTGCGCCCGGGGCTCCACAGGAGACTCCCACACCTAGCCACCTAGCGAAGCCTCGACGCTCGCCCGGGACGCGCCCTCTGAGCCCCCACCCCCTCCGGCCCCGGCCAGTCCACCTCCTGCTTGGGGTGGCAATTTGTCTCTTTTGAACCCCCCGCCCCCGACGGGTTTCCCCCTTTGATTCGCAGCCTGGAGGCTCCCCCCTCTTTGAAATGCAAACCCGCCTCGGCTGGGGCCGCGGGCGGCCCGGAGCTATAAAAGGCCTGGGTGGGGCGCACGCAGTGTCAGGGCCGGGAGTTCAGGTGAGCAGTTGCTCGTCGGGGCGGCCGGCGGCGGCGGCGGCTCCGGGGCCCAGCATGCGCGGGGGGCCCCGCGGCCACCATGTACGTGGGCTATGTGCTGGACAAGGATTCCCCCGTGTACCCCGGCCCCGCCAGACCCGCCAGTCTCGGCCTGGGCCCTCAAGCCTACGGGCCCCCGCCCCCGCCCCCTGGGCCCCCGCAGTATCCCGACTTCACCGGCTACTCTCACGTGGAGCCGGGCCCCGGGCCCCCTGCGGCCTGGAGTGCGCCCTTCCCTGCGCCCAAGGACGACTGGGCCGCCGCCTATGGCCCGGGCCCCGCGGCCCCCGCCGCCAGCCCGGCCCCGCTGGCATTCGGACCCCCGCCGGACTTTAGCGCGGTGCCCGCGCCCCCTGGGCCCGGCCCAGGTCTCCTGGCGCAGCCCCTCGGTGGCCCAGGCGCACCGTCCTCGCCTGGAGCGCAAAGGCGGACGCCCTTCGAGTGGATGCGGCGCAGCGTGGCGGCCGGAGGTGGCGGTGGCAGCGGTAAGGATCCCTCCCTCGCCCTGCGCCTCAGAACGGTTCCCCTGGGCGCCGGCAGGTGCTAGGGCGAGGCCCTGGCCGCCCCCTGTCTGACCTCTGCCCGGCCCTGCTTGGGTTCCTGCGTGTGCCTCCACCCCCCACTCTCTCCCAGGCGGTTGTTCCCTCAGTTCTCCCCTTATCCCAGCCTGCAGGAGCCTTAGCGAGCACAACCTGTGTCTCTGCAAAGATCGGGAAACTGAGACCCCAGAGTGAAGAAAAACGCCTTGTGGTTGCGTGGCAAGGCCGGAACTAGACGCAGGTCCCCAGACCTCTATCCTAGGGTAAACTTTTAGCCACACTGGTCATCATCTGTTTCTTTGCACCCCTATCCCAGCCCCAAGCCGGGGCTGCAAACTCGCCCCAGACAGGACATGAACCGACTGTGTGAACACCCGCAGGTCACTTCCTTTTCCAGGTGTCAGTCCCCCACCCCATACATTGAAGACACTGGTGAGTCATATCCTACGACCCTCATTGCTTAGATTGGTGGTGGTGGTGGAGGGTCCCTACCTTACCATCTCAGGGCCCTCCCTGAACTCTTGACCCTGGGGGAGGGGAAAGCAGGAGCAGTTGGGAAGGTGGCTACTGTTTGGCTCCTGAACCTGTGAACCTCCTGCCCCCAGGCAGGCCTCTCGGATCCACCCTCTTCAAAGGCAGGGGAGGGGGCAGGACAAAGGCTCCGCTTTAATGAGGGGCAGCCTGACCTCCTTTATAGGTCCCCCCTTTGTCATGTAACAGGCTGGGCCTTGGCTCGGCAGTGACTCCTGTCGGCCGGAAAGTGAACATGATACTCCATTGTCCCGAAGGTGTCCGGCCTGTCCTGACAAAGGCCACCTGGCCTTAGGGGCGGGAAGTTGGCCTGCCCACTCTTTGATGTCCAGCCCCTCCTCCCCTTCCCCCAGCTGGGAGCGAGCCTGGAACTTCCCCCACCTCCTCTCTCTCTTCCCCTCAACGTCCCCACACACGCCAGCAGATGCTTGGGGCGGGGGTTGGTCAGTACCTACAGGTCTGGCTGTAAGTGTACCATCTTCTTGGGAGTCCCAAGGACACAGAATCCCAGACTTGCCTCCACAGGCCTCAGAGGACTGGGGTTGACACTCCAGCTCTGTCACTTGATTCTGTGGCAGCTAACGTGTATGGAACACTTACTAACGTAACGGAGCAGGCACTGACTTAAGATCTTTCAATTCTTATAACTTTATCATAGGTACTATTATCACTCCCATTTTCAAGATGAAGAAATGATGGCATAGAGAGGTTAAATACTTGCAGAAGGAGAGTTATACTTGCATAACCAGCAAATGGTGGGGCTAGGCTTTGAACCCAGGCTGACTCACCAAGCCTGTGCTCTAGTCCTCTGAACAGCTTCTCTTAATTCAGTCATCTTTTCTGGGTCTCAGTTTTACCATCTGTGACATGGGAAGGAAGGGTCTGTGCCTTTGTTTGAGTTACAAAAGGACCTTTTGAAAAATATGCTGTGAAGTACAAGTCTTCTCCCTAGAAAAAAAGCATTGCCTAATTGGGCAGACAATTTCAGGGGATCTAGTGGCCCCCAGAAGCTTTATCCAGGTTGAGAACTTTGCATTAGATTACATGAGAGCAAGTGACTGGGGCTGCTGACCCTCTGGGTCCTGCGGCTCTGTATCTGTCCCCTGGAGAAGGAAGCTCACTTTTCCTGCTCCTTTATTCCAGTTGTTACTTCCTGTTGATCGGGTGACTTTAGAGATGGATGGGGAGGTTCCCCAGGGGCGGGGACTTGGAGAGAGGCCATCACTGTGTGAGGGGGAGAGAGTGGGCCAGTGGGGGTAGGAGGACTGTCGGGAACCCTGGGGAGCTTCTAGGCTATGTCAGGCAAATCACAAGTTCTCTCTTGAGCACAGGAGCTGCCGAATCCAGCTCAGCTCTGTACTCAGAAGTCCTTTGGAAACTGTTGTCCCTGGGCAGATAGAAGACCTAGGAGTAACTCTGCCACCCTTATTCCCAGAAAGTAGAAGGAAGGGCTGAAGGAGGTTTGGGGGCTCCCCTAAAGAAAGTGGCTGCCCCAGGAGCCAGTTGAGAGCCATTCTGCCAAGGACATAGGAGCCTTGGCCTTCTCAAAGCTAGAAGCTGCTGCCTATCTGCTCAATAGGCATCTGCATCTGACTCTGACCAGTGCTCCTGACGTGGGGGCAGAATTGGGGTAGGGTTATAGACCCTCCCTGACAGAGAGGCCAAGCCCCTTCCCTCTGGCCTCAGTTTCTCCTTCTGGATAATGAAGGTACAAGGTCTCCAAGGGTGTTGCTTGGATGATGCTGTTGTCTGGGACAGCAGAGGGAAGGTCAGTGTGTGCCATCCCCCCAAATGTTGCTGGTCACCCTGTCTTAATGTACCCTTCCTGGCCAGTCCCCTTTTCCCCCTTTCTGTGCTTCCAGCATTCTAGAATATCTGAACTAGACAGACAGAGACCAGACATACAGATGGGAAACTGAAGCCTGGAGATGGTAAGGAATGTTCTAGTTTCACACAAATGGAGGCTGGGCTGGGATATATTTTCGGATGAGTCAGTTTAAAATTTTCCAGTCATTTCCCCTTATATTTAAGACAAAATCTACCCTCCTTTCTGAGACCTGCAAGCTACATGTGCTACTGCAGGCCTTGTGCGTATGCTGTTCCCTCTTTGCAGAAAACTCCGTCCCCAGACTCTTTGCAGGTTCCTTCTCACCCTCCAGGTCTTAGCTTAGTGGCCACCTCCTCAGAGAGGTCCTCCATGATTTTCCAAAGTAGGCTCTCTGTATACCCATCAATAATCTTTGCCATGTTTCCTTCAGAGCACTAACCCCAATTTCAGTTTACTCACTTACTTATTTCTGTGCATGTTGTCTGTTCCCTACCCTCCAAGGTAAATTCCCATGAAGTCCAGAACCATGTCTGTTTGACCCATGACTACAGCACAGGCACCTGGCTCAGTGTGTGGCATTTAGTAGGTGCTCAATACATTTTGTTGAATGAATGAACAGCGCAAGTGTGATGGACAGTAAGACAACTCTGGGAGAAAAGGGGAGAGATGAAATCTCGACTTGGAGATGGGACCCACAACTGTCTGGCTGAACAGCTCATGCTAGTGGTGGAAGCCTGCTTGCCCCCTCCTCCCTACTGGGACGATGCTCCATCCTCACCTGGGGAATGGGTATATCTGGGGCTAAGCTTTATCTAAGGAGGGGGCAGTGAAAATGCAGGAAGGTGCAGGAGAGGCTGTTATGTTGTCCATAAACAAAATATTAACCAGTTCTGAGTGATTACTATCACTTCACTGATGCCAGGATAGGAAATGACTACAAGAGGTTCTATTTTTTTCTTTTTTTTTGTCTTCACCCTTTGCATTTGTAATTATTAGTGTTCACCTTAGGAAGGTTATAAATCACCCTTCTGTCGAAGTCGCAGTCTCCAATTCCTTATGAATAAATAGTACCTCACAGATTAATGGCTCACTGGGATAGCTGAGGTCTCGTACAAGTGGGGAGATGCTCACTTAGATGATGAGATCCTGAACCCTCCTCTCCCCACTACATTCCAGACCCTTTCTCTTGGCCCATTGCCACAGGCCACCAACCTGGCCTCTCGCCTTCAGCCTCTCTTTGATGCCCTAGCTGTCCTCTAAACCATTATCGAATTTATACTCTCAAAGCACATCCCCTGCTCAAGAGTATTCCATGGTTCCCCACTGCCATGGAATTGCAATTTCATTTTATGCCGTTTCATTGCCGCAAAATCCAGCCCCACTTCAGAGCCCTCTTGAGAACTGGCCCCAGCCCACTCTTGAAACCACTCTCCCATTAGTTTGCTTAGATACGGAGATGCTTACCTGGGACAGTTAAGAGTCTGACTCGGGAGCCTTAGACCTGGAACTATGTTTCTGTAAGACGCTGCATTAGCTTCAGGCAAGTTAATCGGGATCATTTCTCTGAGCCTCAACTTCTTCCACTGTAACATTAAGACAGTAACAGGATTACACCTCGAAGCAACGGGGCCTGTAAAGCCCAGCCCTGAGACTGGCATATAGTAGATATTCAGTGCATTGATGCCTGCGTCCATCTCTGCCAGTCTTTAGCAGGTGCACACACCTCACACTTCCTGCCTCTCTAGTCTGGTTCCCTCAGCCTGAACTGCCCTCCCTTCTCTCTCCTACAGCTTTACCAAATGCTGCTTCTTCTCCAAGGACACCTCCTCTAGGAAGCCCTCCTTGGTTCCCTCCCCTCCAAGCACTGTATCAGGCCCTTGTTTTAACAACACTTATCACTAGGGGGAGGGTATAGTGCAGTGGTAGAGTATGTGCTAAGCATCCACAAGGTCCTAGGTTCAATCCCCACTATCACCATTTTTTTTTTAAAAACTAAAGGTGAATAAATAAACCTAATTACCTTCCCCCTTAAAATAACAATTAACAACACTTATCACTGGCTGTCTTGTTTAGCCCTGCCGTCTACTGTCTGTTATCCCATGAAGGACCAGTCCTAATCAGTCCCATCCTTCTCACCATGCCTTACACATAGTAGGAGCTCGTGATACAGCTAATAACTCTGGCATCAACTGAGCCTTTACCATTTGCTAGGCACTGTGCCAAGGACTTTGCATGGTGATCTCACTTAAGTCTCATAACAACCCTAAGAAGTGTGAGGTTCTATTATTTGCTTCATTTTTTTTTTTTATGAGACTCGGAGAGGGTAACACGTTTTGCCCAAGGTCACATAGCTGGGAGGTGGCAGCACAGGGTTCAAATCCAGACCCTATAGGCTAATGAGCGTCTATCAAATAAAACAACACACTTGAAGTGGGAGCCCGGCCCCCTCCCATGTGCATTCCAGCCCAGGTGGGGAAAAGGAGGCCAGTCAGAGATGAGCCATAAGAGGCTGGGGGCGAGGGGGGGGGAGCGCACAGCAGGGGCCAGGCTGTTTAAAGCTGGTTCTCAAGGCAGAAGCTCCATCTGA